AGATGTAACTCAGTTGTTTTAAGTAGGTCTAACAAATTAACATGTTTTAGAGTTTGCATTATGAATAACTAGTTTTTGTATTCCTTGTAAGTCTACCTGTTAATTTTTTCATTTATATTATTGCAAAAACATTAATAATGCAGTATCAAGTTTTAATTAAAGCTTTTAAAGGGAATACATTGGAATAGTAATAATCATTAATATGATAAAATATTTAATTGTGTTATGTTGCTTGTGTTTTTTACAGGTGGTTGTACCTATTCCTTCCTTTTATGCTGACACACTAATGCCCTATGGTGTCGAAGGAAGCAAGGCAGAAACAAAGGTAAGGGCTTAGTCACTGACTGAAATTTATTTATTAGTTTTAACAGTTTGTCAGAAAATAAGTTAATATATTTGCTTAATTAGTTTTTACTTACAACAAATGGAGAATAGTCAGATAGTGGAAAATATATATATATACACTCCCCTGTTATAGTGCCTTGAAAACAAAGTTAATCTAATTGTTAGGATTAATATATTGGAAATTTTGGATCTGCAAGTTATAAATAGTTATTAAATTTGCATGTCCAATTTTGTAGTTGTATATGTAAGTAAATATACATTAATGTTACTAATACGATGGAAAGGTAAGTTTTAATAGAGGACATTTGTTCAATACCAGCATTAGGCTATAAATACCTGTATTTCAAAGGCAATAAAGCTATTTAGGCATTTACAGTGAAATATGCAATACAAAAGTTTTGTCAGCTTGAGTATTCCACATGTTATAATTACTCTCATTGATTTTATAACAGTGCTTTATTAAAATGTTTGACCACATGAAAGGGAAAATGTTTATAATTGTGTTTTTTATGTGTGATTAATTTAGCATTCAAAAGAAATGGACATTATCTATAATTACTCACCTTTCAAGACAAAAGAAGAACTGTTTGAACAGTTTTCTAAAATCAAAGGTGACTCGGGAACGTTGGTAATCATCTATAACTTAAAATTACAAAACAACGGAGAACCTGAGCTTGATGTACACACAGATCCTCTGGATATTTTGATTTTTAGTAGAGAAGGAAGTGATCTTGGGTAAGTTCAAATGATAATAAAGATATAAGGGAATAGTGTATTAAGGAAAGTGAGCTGGCTGTATTCTTTTTAGTACAAAGATTAGTAATAGTAATTAGTTGACTGTTGTAAAGATTAGAAATAAAAGTAGATTAAGTGAGTTACTTTGTGGTTAAAAAAGACAGAAATAGTAGTAAGTTAGCTGACTTACTTTAATCCTACGTGCATGGGTTCGGGTCATGGTGCATTTAATTAAATTTTGAATGTAACTCAGTAAAACCTCATGACATAAACAGTAAAGAATGCCATTACGGAATGAGTTAAAACTTTTTCTTTCATTCTGGTCATTGTGTACATCTTGTCTTCTTCAATAATACTTTCCAAATATTCATCACAGTTAAATCATATTTATCACTTCCTATTGTCAAGACCAAATCCTTTGTCTCCATGTTCTTATTGTTTTTTCTTGTCTTCTTATTTCTTATTACCATTCTTTCTGCATGGTTGATTCATTTCTTTCAATTTGATTAACCCCCTTTCATGTCAGGATTTGTTTGGAAATGAACTAAAAAAAAACTTGTATTTTATATTTCACTCTTTGACACCCTATACTTATAAATCAATGAAACAAAAGTTCTTTTATGTTCTGTTATTATGTTTCTGTACAATATATACATGATAAATAAATGTTACACATCTGGATTTATATGAAACTAAAGTAAAAAATAGTAATACTTTTGTTCTGTGTTTATGATACATAATTCAAAATAAATCCAGTAGAGGATACCACAAACAGCATTTTCAGGGCCATCTAATGAGTACTGATTGTAATACATGATAACATGCAAATATATTCATGCAAGTAATTAAAAATACAGTTAGAAACGGTTTACCTGGATTAATTTGTGCAAATATTTTTTGAAATATAGATGGTGCCCAAGTTATCTCAGGCAAATCAAGGAAGAAGTTAAAACATCTATGAAGGACACTGTGTAATGTTTTCAACAAACGTGGGTTGCCACACATGAATATTTGTTTACATACATATATCGCCATTATGCTTCTTCAGGTAATCTAGTAGCTTATACAGGTAGTTGAGAGACTGCTGACCAAAATGGTGTTCTTTGCTTTCAGGTATATTAGGTAGTAATGTCCATCAGAATGTATGAACTACATTTTGTGGCTACTACTCGATTATTGACAGTAAGGGTGATCATGTGATTGAAAGGGCAGCCTTCTAACTACTTGATTGTCTTAACCTTTAATAATCAGGTGGAATCAATACAATGTAGTGCATACATTACAGTATTCATCACCTGATAGCTTGGAAAACATGAACTGCTACTTCCTTTCAATCATCAGGCTCTCGACCTAATGATCACCTTAGCTTTAGATAATCAATCCCATCCATATCAATTGGATGAAGTTGGCATTTTGTTTGCTGATTGGAAATGGTAGTCATTTCCAGTTTTAGCAACTTCTCAGAAATTTCCAGATATGTATCCACAGTATCAGGTGGGTCAAGATGACTCTAAGTGGTCTTTTCATCCTATTCTGGTCCAACAATTTCCTCTCCAGATTCCTGTTCTTGCTAGTGCACCAAAGACTTGTGGGTGATGTATGGACACAACTTATCAGTGTGTTCCATATGCATTAGATTGCCTTGTGTCTGTTGTAGCTCATACATTAGAGGAACAACTTGTAAGAGTATCAGATACAGAATAATCCAGCCAGATCTATGTTGTTTTTGTACATTTGGCATGTATGAAAACCACTCACAGTTGTTGCATTGGAACATTTGTTCTTTCACTGTCCAATCATAGAAGTTATCCTGTTGTCATGCTGCCTTCTTGAGTTGTTGTTGGGCAAATTCATATGGGTCAACTGTTGTTAATATTAACCATTCCACATTTTTGGGGACACTTGAGGACTTCTCCTCATAATGGGGGACTATACATTACATTCAAAAGAAGCAACACTTCCTGTCTGAACATGGGCAGATTCAACAAACAGCTCATTGTTCCCAGTTCCATTGTTTTATATTCCATCATTATATATGGCAAACATTCACCCAAGTCAGTTTTGTCAGGATTAACAAACTTCACAAGCATATATGTGGTAATTTGTATTACCCATTCTTCCAAACCATCAAACTGAGGATGATAAGGTGAAGTACAATTCTCCACCAAACTTAGCACTTTACACAACTCAGTGAACAGTGTAGTGTTGAAGTTTATTCCTTGGTTCATGTCGATTTCTTTCATTGCTTTGAATCATACTGTCCTAACACACCTGTGACTGTCTGTACAAGCATATTCATCAATGCTAACATATTCAATGACAACGTGTATGTAGCAATAACCTCTTGCAGTCAGTGGGAGTGAACCAGTGATATCTAGGGCTATCCTCTGCATAGGAGACCCACCACTTCTTTGTTGAGGTTTATCCTGTCTTGGCTGGTTTTCTTCTGGATGACATATAATGTGATGTTCCAACAGTGCTGCAGATAGTGGTCCCCAGAGCTCTTTGGCAAGAAATACTCCAAATTTTACATAATATAAAGAATGGAGGGCAACAAGGTGTAATCCATGCTTGTGCTAATATTTGACCATGGTTCTTCTGGCTGCAAGTGAGTCAAGATGCTTATCGCTGGTGTGAATGCTGACCAGCACTAGTAGAAGAGTGTACCACCTGTTCAAGTGCTGGTCAGACTTGACGTTGCTGAGCAGTAAGGAGTGCCCACGCTAAGTCATGGTCCTTGAGTTTCTCATCTAAGAACTCCTGAAGCTTAAGATTTGGTATCTACCTTTGGTGGGATTGTCTATTTCATGGTCAGCTTTCATTATAGTTGAAACAGTCATGATTTCAATTTCCACTGGGTATCCAGGATCAGGACATTCCACAAATAGACAAAGTCTCGCTATGCAGTGAGACAGTCTATCCACTTTTCCATGTTGTGGTCCCAGTCGATGAACTGTATTAAAGTCATATTCTTGCAGTGCTGTTATCCAATGTGCTATTATTCCCTCTGTGAAGCATGGTCTACTTGGATGGTGATAATCCTAACAGTAGTGGTGATTGTGTTTCACAAAGATAACCACAGCAAGCAGATCTTTCTTCATTATACAGTATCTGCATTTACACTAACTGTGCAGTAATGAGCATGTATTGTAATGGTCAAAATGAACATGCCTCTACAAACAGGTTCAACAACAAAAACAATTCATTCACAGTAGCAACACTCAGAAATATATTCAACACTTACCAAAACACATTTAATAAACAAGTGCCTGGCCAGGTCTTTACACCACTATTAATAAACAATTTATAATAAATATGAATAATGATGGAATCGGGAAAAAGAACAAGAAAGTAAAAACCTAATTCCAAAACAAAATACAGCAAATACAATATTTCAACAATACTTTTCAAAATCAATAACAATAGCGAGTGACAAACAGATATAACTATATCCTTCAGTAACTATCTTGTGACTATCTCTCACTAGTAGATCAGTCACCATGCGTGTTAGCATTTCCATCTGTTCTGTCAATACTGACACAGACTGCTTCAAGCTTGCCACATTGGACTCAGTAACTTCCATAGAAACACAATTATTTTCAAACATTAGCTATCTTTTATTTATCTGAACTTAAATTATTGCTGAATTAATCACTTGATACCAGATTGAGAAACAATAAAATCCAAAGTCACAATTAACTGACATTTTGAATGCTTTGTCAGGGTCAAAGTGGCTATTGGCAAATACCTGTTAAGATGAAGGATCGACATAAAACTGCCTTCATAACGGATAACAGACTTTATCAATTTAACATGATGCTTTTGGTCTTAAAAATGCACCTGATACCTTCCAAAGACTTATGGATATGGCTTTAGCAGGAGCAACTGAATGTTCCAATTGATTATATTATAGTGTTTTCACACACATTTCAACAACATTTGAAAGACTTTGTATTGGTTTTTTACAAGCTATATACAGCTAATTTGACAGTAAAAGCACATTTTGCCAATCACAAGTATCATGTTTAGGATTTAAAATATCTTCTGAGAGAAGACACCTAAATGATGACAAAGTGAAAGCTGTTACAGACTTCCCAACTCCCAGCAACTGCAAAGATTTAAGCACATTCTTGGGTACGTGTATGCCTGGTACAATCAGTTCATTACAAACCTTGGTACAATTGCTGAACATTTATATCAGTTATGAAAGAAGCATATCAGGTGGAAATGGACCTGCCAGTGTGAGGATGCGTTCCAGAAATTAAAGCAGGCTTTATGTTAACCCCTGTCTTGCAACTTCCAAGAAAAGATGAACACTATTTTTTGCATACTGATGCCTCAACTGTTGGATTAGGAGAAGTTCTGTGTCAGAAAGGTGTCATAACATATGCCAGTAGAACACTGAACTCTGAAGAAAGAAACTATACTACTACAGAGTTACAATGTCTAGTCATAGTCTGGGCTATAGAAATATTTAAGATACACCTAGATGGAGAAGAATTTACAGTTATAACTGACCATGCTACCTTGAAATGGTAACAGACAGCTCATAAGTTAACTGGTAGATTTATGCATTGGTCACTAAAATTACAAGACTTAAAATTTGAAATGCTGCACAGAAAAGGGAAAGAGAACCAGTTCCCTGATGCCTTATCTATACATCCTATTGACCCCCCCCCCGAAAGAAACTCCAGATGTGAACGTCAGTAAACTATCCTCTAAACTTTTTGCCATTGTCAATGTTAACACTAGAGAACAATTGACTCAGAAACTCTTTAGTAGGAAGTACCATGCTAATGCAGGGGAGTCAGTTGATTCATTTATTTGGAAAACTGTGAAAATTTAGAATATATGTAGATGGGGAAGAATTTACTGTTATAATGGATCACACTGCCTTGAAATTTTTATAGACAGCTCTGAAGTTAACTGGTAGATTGAGATGTTGGTCTGGCAAGCGTCTCCTAGGAGGTGCTTGCAGTCGGCGGCAAGGTGGAGTGGCATCTCGCTGGTAGTCGTCAACTGGGAGCTTACCACAGAGCGTGTGGGTTTGCAATGATAGGCGGCATTGGTCCAATGTGGCAAGCTTGAAGCAGTCTGTGTCAGGAATGACAGAACAGGTGGAAATTCTAGCACACATGATGACTGATCGGCTAACGCAGGAGAGAGCCACAAGGACATTGAAGGATATAGTTATTGCTGTTTGTCACTCAATATTGTTATCGATATTGATATTGAAAGATATTGTTGGACTATTGTATTTGCTGTATTTTATTTTGGGATTAGGTTTTTTTTCTTTCTGGTTCTTTTTCCTGATTCCATTATTACTAATTTATTAACCCTATTGAGATGGGTAGGGGTCAGAGGGCATGTCATCAGGTTTGTAGATTTACATTCAACATTTTATTTAGCTATTATTTTATAAACTTATATCAATAAGTTTGGTATCAAACTGTAGATTATAATTCAAATTTTAGTATTATACATTAGTTAGTTTCTTACTTTGAAACTAAATATAAAAAAAAGCTAAATATTGATTTTTGTGTGTCACGTGGTACGTGGGCCTTCTGGGTTTGGGCAGATT